GGTCGTCGGCCGCCGAGGCCGGGAGGGGCGGTGCTGGGGGCCGCGGTCTTGAAACTTCCTCCACGGCCCGGAGTCCGAGCCCCGCTACCCCGTCGCCCCGCGCCCGCCGCCCCCTCCCCTCCTTTCCCCTCTCCTCCCCTCCCCCAGTCCGGGCCAGGCCGGAAGGCAGCGGGGCGGCGCGGCTTGACTCAGCCCCGGGCGCGGGCGGTGTCGCCGGCGGGCTGGACAGCGATTTCTGCGGGCCGCACGGGCCGGACGCCGCGGGGGAGTGAAGTTCGCAAACTTCCGGGTGTGGGGGCGGCGGCGGCCCGCGTGGGGCCCTCGGAGCCTCGGGAGGGCGCGGCGGAGCCCAGGGCCTGGGGACGCCGGCGGCGAGGTAACTTTCCGCACGGACCGGGACTCCGGCGGGCGTCCCGGGGCGGGGGCTGTGGCCGGGGGGCGGCGGGGGCTGCGGAGAGACGCCGTGTGTCTCTCCTCCCTGCGCCATTGGGGTGCTGGGCAGCGCGGAGTCATCTCCCGCGGTTCGGTGGCTGAGTGTGCTACCCGAGCGGAGAGGAAGCGAGAGCGCCGGAGTTTGCTAAGAGCTGCTTTGTGTTTGGTATTTTGAGAAAATGGCCGAATGCCTATTTGAGTTTGGAATGCCGCCGCCAAGGCCGGCGTTGGTGGCAGCAACACGCAGGAATTCCCTGCAACACGTTGCTCTCGGGCCGTGCTTGCACGGTCTTTCCCAGAAACGTTGCAGTTCTTTGCAGGGTGGTGCTTAGGGTGCATAGGGGGATTTAGGAAAGGAGGTGTTGGGGTGTGTTGTGGAATCCTTGGTGCTACTGAACCACGAGACAGCTTCGGTCCGCTGTTCGCTGTGATGGCATTTGAGTCCAACTTTCTGTTGGGGCATGTAACTAAACGGGTTTGTGTTTCTACGCTTGGGTGAAGCGATTGCTTTTTGTATTTTCCGTTTTAAGTTTACTTTTAAGTACTTGGTCGCATATCTGATTTTTTCTGATTTGTAAGAGGACACTGAGTTCTAGACCAGCACCTTTGAGGCTGGGAAGTAGCATGGTTGAGACCATTTAAAAACTCAACTTGTTTTCAAGAAGGTGATCTGTAATGGCTTCCAGTAGTCAAGTAGGCCAATCAAGCACAATGCGCCAAAGTTGCTGGTTGACGCATTGAGTTGCACGATTATCAGGAAGCTTTAAAACAAACGACTGCCCTTTTCATGGGAAAAGGGGTCCAGGCTCCTCCTCTTTTAAAATTGGGGTCATCAAAAAATGAAAAGCCAGTGACTTTTTCACAGTAGTTTTCTTGTTCGTTGAGTTCTCGTGAAACTAAACTGCCAGTTATTTACAGGCATCCTTCCAGATTTCTTGGAGTACTCAACTCCTACATGCAGATAATTGGTTGTGGATTTCTGGGGTTCTCATTCAGGCTATTGATGGAACTGTTGAACGGGAGAAGTGGGGGTACAACAGCTCAGCATTTATGCTTTGAATATTAAGAGAAATTTTAAAAATGTTAACCACCAGAAAAATGCTTGACACGTGCCAGTCAGGTAGATTTAATTGCTATAAGACATGCATTTTTTCTGGGTGTAGCGATTTTCTGGGTATTCATTTGTTCATATATATGTTGTTGTGACTGCAGTAGAGAGAAGGGAGAATTGAAAATTCACAGCAGTTCTGCCTCAGCCTCCCTAGTACTGGGATTACAGGCATGGGCTGCCATACTGTGCACCCAACTTTATTTTAAAAGTTTTCAGTTAATGCAACTCATTAAGTTTTTGAGGTTATATTGGAAAAATCCTTGTTTTAGGAGCTTTAGGTCATGAGGGTTGTATTTAAATAGCATTTTTTGTTGTTCTTTATTTAGCATACAGCTATGGCCACCCAGGTGATGGGGCAGTCTTCTGGAGGAGGAAGTCTGTTTAGCAGCAGTGGCAGCATGGGCATGGCCTTACCCAACGACATGTATGACTTGCATGACCTCTCCAAAGCCGAACTGGCTGCACCTCAGCTCATCATGTTGGCAAATGTGGCATTAACTGGGGAAGTAAATGGCGGCTGCTGTGATTACCTGGTCGGTGAAGACAGACAGATGGCAGAACTGATGCCTGTTGGGGACAACAACTTTTCAGATAGTGATTCAGAAGGACTTGAGGAATCTGAAGTCAAAGGTGAAGCCAGTGGACTGGAAACCATGGAACTGAGAAGTTTGGAGCTCAGTGCTATAGAACCACAGCCTGTATTTGAGGCATCAGCTGCTCCAGAAGTGTACAGCTCAAATAAAGACCTTCCTCCTGAAACACTTGGGGCAGAGGACAAGTGCAAGAATTTGAAGACCAAACCCTTCCACTGTAAGCCGTGCCAGTATGAAGCAGAATCTGAAGAACAGTTTGTGCATCACATCAGGGTTCACAGCGCTAAGAAGTTTTTCGTGGAAGAAAGTGCAGAGAAACAAGCCAAAGCCAGGGAGTCTGGTTCTGCTGCAGAAGAGGGCGATTTCTCCAAGGGCCCCATTCGCTGTGATCGCTGCGGTTACAACACCAACCGCTATGATCACTACACTGCTCACCTGAAACACCATACCAGAGCTGGGGACAACGAGCGCGTCTACAAGTGTATCATTTGCACATACACCACAGTAAGCGAGTATCACTGGAGGAAACACTTGAGAAACCATTTTCCAAGGAAAGTCTACACCTGTAGCAAGTGCAACTATTTTTCAGACAGAAAAAATAATTATGTCCAACATGTCCGAACTCATACAGGTAAGAGAACCTCTGGTCCACTAGTATGACTGCTTTTATGTTTGTAGATTGTGCACACAGCTAAGATATACTATAGTTAACAAGGATTTGAGGGTCTAAATATAGTTAGCTCAGTGGTTAACCTTGTTTTGTAGATTGTGCACACAGCTAAGATATACTATAGTTAACAAGGATTTGAGGGTCTAAATATAGTTAGCCCAGTGGTTAACCTTGTATAGCCTATTGAACAAAACCTTCAAACTTTCCTACTCCTCCCTTGTTTTGAAACAGGATGTCATGGAGCCCTGGCCTGTCCTGACCTCACTGTGTAACTGAGGATGACCTTGAACTCCTCATCCTTCTGCTTCCACTTTCAAAGCAGTGGGTTTGCAGATTGCCACTATGCCGGTTTATGCAGTGTTGGAGATGGAACCCAGGTCCTCCTGCATGCTAGGCCAGCACTCTACTAGCTGAACTATACATTTCCCATTTTTATGTTTTAAAACTCTAAACTTGAGACATTTAACTTGTGGTATTGAGCTTTTCTTTTTGTCCCAGAAGTAGAATTTGAAAAATTAACTTTTTGAAAAAATGAGTAGAGCTGGGCGTGGTGGCACACACCTTTAATCCCAGCAATTTGGGAGGCAGAGGCAGGAGGATCTTTGTGAGTTTGAGGCCAGCCTGGTCTATGTAGTGAGTTCTAGGACAGCTGGGGCTACAAGGAGACCCTGTCTCAAAAAGTCCAAAAAAAAAAAAAAAAAGTAGAAGGAGGCCAGATTCCTAAGAGCAAACATACCCATGAGAATGTTTTGCATGTCCCAGAGCATACAGAGTTAGAGAACGTTACTAGGGAAGAAGCATAACTCCAGAATTACAAGGGGTTAAGATGTATAGCTCATCAGTGGAGTGTTGACCTGAGGCTTTGTGTCACCTCTCCAGTACCAAAAAAGAAAGTTTCAAAACTGTTTTGAGACAGTGTCTTGCTGTGTAGCCCAGACTGGTGTTAAAATCCGTGACTTCTACTACCTTCACCTATCTTCAGCCTACCTGATACTTTATTTTTTCCTTTTAGACAGGTTCTCACTATGTAGCTGTGACTGGCATGGAACTCTGTACAAAGACCACACAGAGATCCACCTGCCTCTGCCTCTCAGGTCCTGGGATTAGAGAGCTGGGATCAAAGGTGTGCACGGCCATTCCTGACTCCCTAGAACTTTTTTTTTTAAAACATGAAGAATTTTGTTCTGGCAGAGAACAAAAAAAGATACCTAATACCACTATCAGGGATGTGAGGGAATATTATTATATATGGGGGTGCACTGGGATCTTGTGGTGCTGAAAGTCTCTGCTGCTTCTCCGCTGTGAGTCCTTCTGCTACCGGGACTTTGCCCGGCCGGGTCCCGCCCTAATTTCACCCGTGCACTCACTCTCTGGATTCGGGACCCGTCAGCTGCCGGGTCACGAGGAGAGGTGTGAGGCGGCGAAAGCTAGGGTTCCGTGAGTCGATGATGGAAGGATAGCGCCCCCCCGGAGAGACTGGATCGTAGGCAGTGAGACACAGGATTCAGCTTTCCGTGTTACAGCTCTTTATTACAGTGACTCTGCTCGGCTCCAAGTCCTGGTGATCCAGCTCCAATTATTGAGGGGAAACCAGGAAACTTTATACTGTGGGGGTAGTGGTAAAAGCCCTAGCTGATAAGTACTTTTAGGATGCCCCATCTACATATGGAAGTGGGCTCCTGCCAGGCTGCCAGACTGCCAGAAAAATCACACAGGAAAGCACAGGAAAGCATGGCATTTCCAGAGCCGGAGGCCATGTGTTTTGTGGTGGCTACTTCAAAAAGACGAGTCAGGAAGATGCCAGGAAGATACCCTGATGAAAAGGAGTCTTCTGCATATGAAACTGAGCCCG